CTCTCTCTCTCTCTCTCTCTCTCTCTCTCTCTCTCTCTCTCTCTCTCTCTTTCTGTGTGTGTTTTTAAAAGTATTAATATTCTAGATTTTCTAAAGTACTAGTATTCTAAGTACGTTTATCCACATAACATGGATTTAATTGAAATTGAAATCAGTATTAACTGAATTGAAATTTTTATTTTTCGTAAAAATGACATCCCTTATAATAACAATTAGAGTAAGTTTTTTCCTGTATAGTTAAAATATCATAAATTGTTAATCTTATCAAAATCAGACCAGTTTATTATTTTAAGAAAATGTGAAGTCATCGGTTGTACGATAAAATATGTTAATTTATGCGACATCGTAAGTCAAACTATTCGTGTGCGCAGCTAATACACGTAATATTGTATGAAACGATCGTTTCAGACCTAGTAAACTATCCATTATCTATGCTAATTAAATTGCTCGAAAGGAATGTAGATGAAAACTTACTCGATAAATTAACCGAGCATTATAATTTGTCTTGTATAATTGTACAATTATACGAGACTATAATTGTTGAATTTACTAACTAATTTTTACTATTGAAAGAATCGTGAAAACAATAATAATAATTATTTATTATTTGTAATCTATTTAACTTTTTAGTATAATTTTAACAACTGTTAAATTATTTAATTAATTAAATTATTGTTATATTATTTTTTAATCCATTTATTTTACATAATATTTAATAATTATATGTTATTTATTTAATTATACTATTATTTGTGATCTTTAGCATCCATATTTAATATTTTCATGTCAACAGAGTGATTTCCTCATACATATCATAATTATGACAAGATGTCGAGAAAATAAATAAATTAAAAAGATGCAAAGCTAATTTAACGTGCATCTTTCTTTGATATTCTAGTGTATCAATTCAGTTATCTCGTATTTATTTACTGACTATTTATCTAAGGGGAAGGAAAATGAAAAAGAGAATGAGAGAATCAGGATTCCGTTCAGGGACGCCTGGAATCCGCCAGGAATATCAAAAAAGTGAATACCCTATCATCTCAATCGAAGACCTTACACGATTGCAGCTCTCATCCTTGATTATGCAAAGAGTGCAAGGCGATCTTTGCTATCGCGTTAGAAGTCACCATTCAACCTTTCCTTTAAAATGCTGATAGAACAATTGCTGTCACGGTATTTTGATTTAGTTAATACATATAATTATATAAATTCCGCAGCATTATAATATAGAAGTGTAATGTCACACAACAATTCTTCTAATTGTATAATTTTATTATTATTACAATGTTGACAGAATTGTTGCAATTATATATTCCATTACATTTATAATAATAAAATAAATTTTATAATTTTTTTCAATATAATGGAATAAAATTATTATCAATTAAAATATTGATACGCTATAATATTTTATATCTTATATTTATTTTTTTTATTTATAAATATAAAATTTAATTTAAAAACTTCCTTAATTTGATTAAATTTAATAAAATATTTTTTATAATACAGATTTTTATTTTAATTTGTATATTTTTACTTATGTTAATCTTTTTATTTATGTTCATTCTACAACTGTTTTTTTTATATAAAAAGCGAAGAAGATGATATTGCACGTAACTAATAATTGAAGTTGCATCTGAAATTTTTGCAAATCTGAGCATTATCAAGGATCAATCAAAGTAAACGAAATATGTGCGTTCAAGATTAAAGGTAAACGTGATGGCATTTGATAAAGTCGGATATCTTAATTGCTCGTGGCGAATCTGCCAAACGGCCAAAGCTGTATCACCTTATGAATCACACGCAGCGGCTGGATCATCTCTCAGTGAAAGTCACCTGTAAGTAGTTGCGTAAGGGACCAGTGATTTAGCCTGGGGCGAAGCCTCTGGTACATAATTGTATGTCAATCGCACATCGATCTCTGGGATCGCATTGTGTTAAAAAATATTTTGAAATTCATTAGATTTTTTTTTCTATATCTTAATGCTGGGAAATTCTATCAGTTTTTTAATATCTTGAATTGTGAATATAATCCACGTGACTGATATAAAAATAATAAAAATACTAAATTCCAATAAGTAATAAATTCTATTGACATACGTATACACTCGCTAAGAACCTTGTGATCTTAAATTGTTATGTCAAAATTTCAATGAAATTGCAATGGCATGCGGGAATTCGATAGCACGTGAATCGATTAAACAGGAATGTGCGTTTTCTAGTCTAAATGTTTTCAGATTACATACGTGCGCGCACTTAAAAGGCAAAACTTTGTTTTACACATACATAGGTATGCGAATGACACATCTTACGGCGACCACTGTATACACGTGAATCACGATGTTAGAACGAAGCGATCTTCTTTTGGCAATGGATTTCTCCCTATTTATCTGCCTTATAATTGTAATGACGAAAAAGACAAAGAAACTGGTATTAGAATAATTAAAATACCATATAGGATTAGCTAAAGCACATATATCAATTTCATCTGTTTATCTACCTAAAATTATTTTTCTTCTCATATATTATTTTTAATTTTTAATATTAAATATCGTGATATTATATATCATTATTAAAATCTGCTTAAATAAAATCCATTTTAATTTCAACTTTATATAAGAAAATTTATTACATATTGATACATATGTAAATTAATTACATTTATGATAAAAAATTATATAGTTTTATTTATATGACAATTATTTATATGCCAAAATAAAACAAATTTTTTTAAATGTATATTAATAGAAATTAATTGATCATTGAATGTAAAAGATTATACTTTGTATTTATACGTATACATATGTGGGTATGATTGACGTGTGCGCGCGCACATGTCGCGTCAATCATATAAACTCAACTATTTAATATTACATTATTTGTCATTTTAGGAAAAATATTCTTAATAAGAATAAATAAAAGTTTTACATTTTATAAAAGAGATAATTAATTTAATGGAGAAATTCCGAAATTTGGGAAAATCAAAATTATAAATTACATACTTTTGTTATATATTATATGATTATTATTGCAATGTCATGGCATTGAAGTAAATTATGAATGAAATGTAGTGCAACGACATTCTCACTTGAATGAGTGTCAATATGAATGGAAGTCGATTAGATAACGAGTCACGATGAACGCGGCTATTACCAAGTAATCAATGCCACTTTCTATTCTGTGTACTATTATTACATTAATAATACTATTACTATATTATAGTATTGATACGTAGTAATAATACTGTAATAGTAATATTAATAGTAATAGCAATGGTAATAATAATAATAATAATTTTATATTAAAAATAAAGATAGTAGTGAGACATTATTATTTTTTATATTTTATTTAAGTAAATATATTTTTATTGAATTTTAATATAATACTTTCTTTCTTATATATTATTAATAGAAAGAAAATATAATAATTAGATACATTAATTATAATGTTAAAAAATTGTATGTTAAAATATAATAACAATTAAAAATTAAAAATATGCAATTATTAAAATGCATAAGTAGTAAAAAATGTATCACATAGCAAGGGACATATAATACAATGCATCATATATCAAATGTATGCGTTGTAATTTGCGCAACAGGTAGCGAAACGTGTGTTGGATATCTACGAGACATTAACATGAGATATTACATTAACATATCCCAGTCAATCCTTGAATTGTATTTCCAATAGATTTTATTAGTAGCGAAGATTTGAATTACTGACATTATGACAGTGTTTTGTATTTAATATTATATACACAAGTATATACATTAAAAATTACAAATTGCAAGCAGTAAATAATAAAAACTAAAAATTAAATTTTATTTCAAATAGTAAATATTAATATCAATTTTAGTTTATTATTTCTTAAATATTTTTTATTGAATTAATAAAAATTTCACTAAATTATTTTTTTGCTAAATATTTTTTCCTCAAATTTACTTTCTAAAATATTCACAATAATTACACGTAATTTGAAATTTATTATTATTATTATTATTATTATTACTAAATTATTTTAATAAAATTATTAAATTGTTTTATAATTTTATATAGTAATAATTATTAAATTTAATTAATTTATTTTAAAAGAATTATTTTAAAAAGAATGAAAATTTTCGCTTATAATATTTTGTAAGAATCCACATTTTATTATAATTTTTATAATTTCTTTTATTAATTAAATCTTTATCTGCTAATTGAAAAAATAGCAAATAGTTCAAAATATTACCCCGAATAATACTAAATTTGTGGGTCTAATTTAATATTAAGTGGTATAATTTTTAATAATAATATTTTATATTTTATAAAAATTGGATTTGATCAAATTTAGTTTTCTGTGACATTAAGATACGTTTATATTCGTGTTTATTAAACAAATATATAAAATTAAATGAGCTTTTTAAATTCCGAAGTTGTATGTATATGCAAAAATACTGAAGACATACCAGAATGAAGAGGGCTGCAGTGGCACGCCGCAGCATCTTGACGAGAATCCTTTTTCAGCAAGGCATTGTCCGCAGCCTCTCTACAATGACGACGAGGATGATCCCCAGAGATAATCGCACGCAGCGCGTCGTTCGAACTGAACACGTCGCCGGCAGAAAAAGACTTTTATACAGGGTGGGGATCGCCGACCCCCCAACTGGTCTCATCCTCGCTCTATCTTCTCTTTTCCCTATTCTTCTCATTTCGATTTCTCGAGGATCACTCCTGTACTTTCTTTCGTCTCCTCTTTCCCCTCTTTCCTTTTTATTCAGAACATAATTTTTTCAAATCACTGACAACGCACGATGCAATTAATTTGACATATTATTTAATTGTCAACTTTATTGCTGCATCTTAATTTCAATGGCGTTTACAGGCATTTCAAATCGTCACTTTAAAGGGCATTACTTACAAGGTCCTACCTTTCATAGAACACGGGAAGCATTTGTGATTGCATTAATATGAAACAATCACAGTAGTAAAATAGCATATTGTTACTTTATTATTTTATTGCTACATTTATCATTATATTTAAATATCTTGGATTATTATTGTTAATTTAATTTTTATCTCTCAAACAATCTTTTTTAGATTTTATTTTATTCCCGCCAAATAAGGAATTAAATTGGTATCGATATTCGATGCCACTTGCGACAAAAAATTGTTTCCATTATTGAGCTGCACTGTTAAATAAATGACGAATAGACCTCGATTAAGAATACACTGCTCGAAATGTAGTTCAGGTGCGTTCTTACGCAAGGTGCACTTAGGTCTCTTCGGTTTACGGCTCCCACGCTTACCAGAGCAACCAGATGAATTAATCTCGATTAATCCCAGGTAGGTTCTTCATATATGGTTAACGATGGCGCGAATTCTCTTGGCACAAATGTCAAGATGATTAACAAGAATCAATTAAATATTACAGGTTGTGGCGTTTAATTGGCTACGAAGAAAACGCTTTCAATGCCTTTCGTGCGATTGTTTAAACGCCATTGACTTTTATAAGGCTTTGTGTGTGCATATTCTGGATAATCTTTGCTTAGGAGAAATCCTGTTCCTAATATGACTTATCGCACAATACAGATTTATTTATTAGAAATAGCTTCCTCGTCGAAATTTAACGTGCTTTGTCATTGTTAATGAAGCAATAGACATTGTAATATGTACCCGCGGGGGTTACTTTCATTCTCGCCGTGAGAGTCGAAATAGATAACAGAGAAACGGATTAAAATTTAAATAATAATACACAAATTAATTGTAATATATTTAAATTTTATGATTTTATTAAGGTTTCAATTTTAAATAAGTATTGTAAAAGAACAATAATTGCATAACATAAAATATAATAAATATGCATTGTTATATAATACGTAGACATACGTTTAAATTTTAATATAAATTTAATAAAAATGTATCTTAATTTTTTAATAAATTGTAGAAAAAATTTACAAAAATTTAGTTTAAATTTAATTTTAGTGATGATAATATGAAGAATAAGTCACTTTTACACTGAACAAAATTTTGAAATTCTTATTCTATGACGTGTACGATGTCCTTTTGGGAGGCAAATCCGTTTATAATTATCTTCATCTATGTTGCGTAAATTCTTCGCAAAATGATATATGTTTTTTCTTTAGCATATTTATTGTAGATTATATCACTGTCTAACAAATGTGTGGGATGTTTCTAACTTAGGAATGAGGATGAAAATGACTAAAACGTCAAAGCTTTCGATTCAAATGAAATATATTATTTCCCGCACATTTTTAAGTTTATATAAAATTATTAGTTTATTTTGCAATAAGTTCTCTTTTTTAATCGCTAATAATTTCAAAATTATATCTTTATCGGCTTTTGTTTGAAATATGACCGTCGTCCACTTCGAAAATGTATAATCTTGTCCTAAGGATCTTTGACTATCGTGTACTTAGAATTGCATGAGTGATCTTCCTCCACGAATTTTCCGAGAAAGACGAAAACATATTTTTTTAATCTACAAAAGAGAGGCTCCCAAAAGGGATTGCAGCAGCAATTTCATGAGTTTCTCAAAATCGATCGGAATGCGTTATACTCTGTCTTAATTTTAGTGTAAGTTATCAGAGTTCGTAGTTATTAGAGCTATTGTATATAAAGATTAGCAAATAAATTCCCTTTTTCTTTTTAACAATAACTCTCTCAAAAAAAAGGAGAAAAAATCTTTTATAATTTTGTCATATAATTTTTACAGAAAATTAAGATATCTTCGTATTTAATAAAAAAATCTGTACAAGTCAAAATGTAAACCTTGTTAAATATAGAATATCTTATATGGTAGGTACGGTATTATGCGGAAAGACGGCGACATTGAGACTCGCCACAAAAATCTTGAAGCACATGCTTGTTGCCATTCCGGTGACGGCTACACGCTTTTCGCATGCCGTTGGCGTAAGGCAGTTTCTCACAATGTCAGCGGATTGATATGAATATTTATGTGTCGTGCACTTAGAGTGCACCCGTTTCCTGTTCTCTTTACTGTTACAGTTATGCTGAATTTAAAGCTATCCCTTTATAGTGGATAAAGATATAAACTTGCAATAATCTTAGATTAGGATTGGATTAGATTCTTAATCTGGAAGGTACGAAGATATTCTATTGAATTAAATTAGATTAAATTAATTTGTAGTATGAAATACTTGAATACTCGTGAATAATGCCGCTTAGAAAAAGAAAGGAAGGCAAGAGAATAGCAAATGAGGAAATTTGTTTGCACGTTCAGTCCGGAAATTCAAACGTAAAGTAAAGTTAAGTGATGTCACTCAATATTCTGCCTCCAATATACATATTTTCTGATCGTCATCGGTTCATCATTACCGTGGCGCATACGTGTATAATGTACGTATATTCGAAAACCAGGTTTCACTGCGTAGAGAAGATAAAATATCGCATATAATGGCGATATCGTGTGGAAACAAGTAATCATCCTCTCCGGACGAATTAACATTTAAAATGAATTTTAACCGCAAACTTTTAAAATATAAAATACGGAATATGCGTGCGCGAAATACTTTATGAAACGCCGCGATACATAATTAATTTCGCGTTTGTTGAACCTTATATGAATGTTCGCAAAATCAATATACTTTGGATACCAAGTACCTTTTAATATTAATTTTATTTGAAAATCTCTTAAGATAACTCAGTATCAATACTTTATTTTTGATATTTTAATTGGTTTTATTTGCAAAAATTTGAATAATTTATTAACATAATATTACAATTTTTTGAGAATTGACACAATTTTCCTTTTCTTTCACTTCAAAATATTTTGTCAAATTAATTTTTAATAGTTTTCACTTCAACAAATCTAGATTCCTTTCGTAATCAAAATTTGAACAAATACCACTTTTCCCTAAATTTGTTCAAGATACTAAATTTTTTTGAATCAAATGTTTTACTAAAATTCCGAATTAGAGTAAATCAGGGTAATGCGTATACAGTATGTTAAATAATAATGATGTTCCGATACGAGAGTGGAAGGATATAGAAAGTGCAAGTAAAATGAGCAGATCTATTAAGTCATCTTCCAGTTATGCAGATTATATTTTTGGTGCTTGTATTAATTCATCCCAAGTAACCAGGTGCCGGAAATATATTGGAATTTATTGACACCTACGAAAGAATCTGAGAGTCGGCACGACAAATTGATGTGCTAATATATGATAGGAATTTGCTTCAAAGACGGCACATCGGAGACAAATTTTATTGCTGGAGAAAGTGCTTGCTTATCGTACGTAAAGGATCCGTTCGTTTCTTTAATACTTCCAGCTTTTATATATATAAAAATAATATCAATTATAACGATTTTATTTAAAGGGATCGCAGAAACAAAAGAAATGCAGAAATTACAATTAGAATATACGAGAGGGTCTTCTCATTACCTTGACCGCTAAATTTGAAATGTCAGTCCAAGTTAATGGCTAACGGAGTTTTTTTCTCTTTTATGCAGACCGACTAATTTTAAATCCAACTGATTTTATGCAGACCGATTAAGATTAAATCCTTTCCGCGGATTTAGAAGATTAAAAAATTGTAAAATTTTAATTTCTATTGTATTCTAAATTTTGTATTGTTTTAAAAATATTTAATGTAGAAAATTAAAAAATTGCCATGAATGTAGAAAATTAAAGAAATTATCAAGAAGAATTTGACACAAAGAAAGTTGTGCTATATTCTAAAAATAAATTTTAATTTGTCATTAAAATTTGGATAAAATTTCGGATTGAAATTCGGATTGAATTTTGAAATACAATATAACGATATACGAGATATATAAACTAAATGATTTCAAACATACTTTAAATATTAATTTTTAATGTATTTTATACCTTATTATGTGTTAATTGCCACGTTATCATCTTGTAAAAATTCCCCAACTAAAAAATTTTTTATAATCTTTTTTTAAAAAAAATGAGGCAAACAGAATAAAGTAGCAGGTATCAGTGTGACAACTTGAATTTTGATGTTAACATTGAAAAAATGTCGGCAGCCGTTTAATATCTTCCGCATATAATTCTTCGCAATTAGCGCACGCAATTTCTGCTGAAACACATTCCTCTCTTTTTGAGAATTTATATATTTGCGACGCGCGTGCAGCATACTGAAACGTGTATGTGGGCTTATCTCGCGAGCTCGCGGCGCTGCAGTTTAAATCATTGTCTTTGCGAGAAGGTTAAGGACCCAGGCTATTAGGGTGAGCAAACCGGTTTCATGGTATTCTCCGTAACACGAAATTGCTTTGGGGAGCCCCCAGAGATTCTTTTTAACTGACAACCCGCCAACGGATGACGGCTGACTTTATTTTTCACGCTGAGTTAAGGCTCATTTTAACCTACATCATACGTCATCACGTCACATTTGAAGAATTTAAATTTTTTTAGAATCTCTTAAGGAAGCACGCTTATTCTTATTCTGTTCTGAAATCGGCTCTACAAAATCCATAAATAAAATTAATTAGTTTGTCATCACTTTAGATATTAACGAGATATAAAAGGAAAGGATGAGCGTATTAGAATGAGAATAATAGAAGCCCAATGATTGATGCAGAGATAATAGATTTTTATTCTTTGCTTCTACTCATCTTTGTTCGGGTAAAACCGTGTAAGACAGCGCGGCCGTCTGATCGATCTATTGCATGGATCAAGTACATTCACTCCGCATTTGATCAACACACCGCGATTGGTCATACATAGATCAACGTGGGTTGCTGCAATGGTCACATTCTGCAGATTCACCGCGAATCGAGGATTCTCCCTTTTTTCTGTGCATTTTTCCGCGTATCCTTCTATGGATTTCGTTGACTAATATGGATTTTCTACTTCATGGAATGTTCTTTTTTTTTTTAACGTCTCATCCGAACGAGAACGAGATAGCTTAGATATAAACATACGTAATGAATATACGGATAGCTTAACAAATTCACCGTGCGCACCTCTTTCAAGAATCTCTCCTCTATCTCGACTGAGAAATACACGTCATACATACGGATGACGATTCAAGAACTAATAAAGTAAAGGCAATCTGTTCATTGCTGCATAAAAATCCAAGTAGAAAAAAAAACACATTTAATTAGAAGAATCTAATTATTGGTCAGTTATTGGTGACTTACATTAAATTAAATTAGATTAATCTCAAAATATCCATAGATAAAAAATACAAAACACTCTATATATTATCAAAAATGTAATCTAAACTAACGTAAAAATTAGATTTATATCTAGCGTTCTACTTTTTATTATATCGGCCCTTATCCTCTATATTATTTTTAAAATTTGCATGATACCACAATGCTGCTTATTATTAACAAGAATGCAGGTGCGCAACTCAACATTGCCCCATCAGGATCATTCTTTGGTGATGGAGTTTTTTCTGTTATGGTCTCTCCTTTTTCTGTCGTACTTTTGTTTTTAGAATTTTCAGTAGAACTGGACACCTTAGTTGTAGTCTCGGTGGTAGAGTTATTACCTTCCGTTGCTAAAAGTAAAGACATTGATAGAACTAATTACTAATTATTAATATGCATTAAAAAAATAAATATTTATTTATATATATGTATATATATATTAACATAAATATTTTATATTAATATATATTTATATATTTATATATATAAAATATTAAAAACATATACTTGTGGTTTGTTCTTGTTTTTCGTCTTTTAATACAAGCGCAGCATTTGCTGTCAATATAAAACTGTCCCGTGAAACAGTACCTCTGAAAATATACATTCATTTACAGGGTGATTTTTAACTCTATCATCTAAAGAAGTCTTTTCTTTGATCGTGTTTGTATTTCAAAAAGATAATAAAATGTTTAATTTATTTATAGTCCTCAATAACTAAAAAATATTATTATTTTTTTTAAATAAAATATATGAATACAAGAGATTGATAAAAAATTTTGTACAAACTATTGTATACATTATTTTGCATAACATTCTGCATAACTTACGTGACGCGAATTGCATTGCTAGAAGTCACAATCACATTCAGAACATTTCTTAAATTAGCATAAATTGATGTCAAATTAACTTTCTCTGGCCGTAGACCCAAATTAATGACAATAATATATACTGGATAATCTTTCAAAGACCTAATTATGAATTAAAAAAAAATAATTAATTCCAGAAATTTCGATTTTTACATGCAACTATTATAAACTTTCAATAATTTGTAAACACAATATAAATAAATGTCTAAAAGATATTAAATAACTTAGAGAGTAATGTGGAATAAATGTAGATTATTGATTTTTAATGAAGTAAAAATGTCTCAATTGTTTTTAAACGATAAAATTATTTTTTATTTTATGTTATTAAAAATGTCCATTTTTACTGTATTCTGTCGATAAAATTTATAGCAGAAAGTTTTCAAAATCTCTGTTTTGACTGTTTATAAAATATATGTTTTACTGTAAATATTATAATATGTCAACCTTTTTATCACCAACACCCGGTCATTATTCAAACTTGCAAATTCGTAAGCTCCATCTGTAAACACTGGGTCTTTCCTCAGATTAGCCAGCTTCTTGTACGTCTTCAAAATGCTTCTACTATTACTTTGTTGAATTTCTACATTTCTATAAACATAATCAGGATGAATAGGAAGATAAGTGGTTTCATTTATGGAGAAACCACCTGAATTTTCGAAACTCCATTGCATAGGAGTCCTCGCTGGATCTCTTGAAAAATATTCGTATTCGTTTGTGCCTCTGGCACAACCCATAGGATCGATGGTCCTGTTCCAAAATATTTTCGTTTCCAACATGCCTATTTCTTCACCGTAGTACGTGTACGCTTGTCCGGGCAATAGAAGAATGAGCATGTGAAGACCGTCAATTCGGTTGAGTCCGATTCTCGAAGTTACTCTTGAATTATCATGATTTGAAAGCTATAATTTATAAAAGATAAATTAAGTTTTTAATTAGTCAAAATATATTAAAGCGCTGTGTGACTACCAATCGAGTGGTAATGGTCGTTAGTGGATTTTCAGTAGTGGAGAGGCCAACTTTATACAGCTTAATTCTTCACATAGCAGGTGGAAAAATGATGTAATCGTAATTTAAACAATATATACAAAACTTTTCTCACAGTTTTTGTAAAATTAATTTCAATTTAAATAATTTAAAATTCTTACCACCCAATTGGTCTTGGCGTTTTCTGGAAGATGTCTAAGCCACTTCTCCAAGATGTGCTTAATATAACCGGCATCGCTGGTGTTATGAATATATGTGATAAATTTAAAATTGAACGGCGCGATTCCTTTGTGCGTGTCGTTGCCGTAATACGCCAATAAATTATCATCAGAAGTATCATATGATTCCGCGATTAACAATCTGTTGATATGTCATTAAATCGAATTAATTTTAATAATTAATGTATACATTGTTATAATATAATATGTTATAATAATCATATTATAAAAGAAAATTTAAAAATTTTAAAAATATCTTTAGAAATCATACTTTGATATGGCATTATTTCTCGATACCCAATTATCGATATATTCACGAAATACATAAAGAAGAGCGGTGCTTTCAGGAAGACCAAAAGTATAAGTACCCTTTCCCGCAAGGGATTCATTTCTTAAGGCTTCGTCTTCGAAAAAATAAGGCACTGCACTAATTCGAAAACCATCGACATTTCTTTCCAACCAAAAGTCAAATATATCCTGTTTATAGAAATAAATGATTTCTAGATTATTTTACAGAGAATAAGAATTACTCAAGAATCTTTTAACTATTTTTTAAATTAAAGCTGTAAAATATACGTATAAATTATTATTAATTTAATTTAGAATATAATTATTGCTTAAATTAATAATTTATCGCTTAAATAATTAAATTGCGTTTAAATTTGTTTCAAATACCATAAAATGATTCATAAAATTACTTAAAAAAGTTACAAATTACTGTTTAATGCAAGAAAGTATTTGAGTTATATTCCAATTCTTTCAGTTTGTTTCAATTTATAACTTATTTTTTAATTTAAATGTCCAAAACACAAATAAATATTTTAATATTAAATTAATATCTGTGTGTTACCATTAATTCTTGGATCACTTCCTCGTTTCTCAGATTAAGATCTGGTTGACAGCTATGAAATTTATGATAATACCATTGTTGTCTTCCATCGTGCCATGTCCATGCAGAGCCTTCTTCGTCGCTGTATGTGCTTATCTGCACAAGAGATATGAACAGATATATTTATTTTACAAGATATCTTTATTATTGTTTGTAAATCAGATTCAAGTTAAAAAAAATTTATCTATTATTAAGAGACGGAGACAATCTCTTTTTCTCTCGAATTCTCCATGTATTGTATAATCATAACTTTTAAAAAATTTTTATTTGTTAATCTTGTAAAAACGATCTAATTTATCTGAGATATTGTAATTAAGGTTACTGTATGTTACATTGGAAAAAATATATAAAATGGAGAAAAATTTACCCAATTATTTGGTGGAATATGATCGCCGTTTTTATCGATGCTACCATTGCTCCAGATGTAATAATCAGTATATGGGTCGAAAGATTTTGCCGACAACTGAAACCACAAGTGCTGATCGCTGGAATGATTGGGAATAATATCCAGAATGACTTTCAATCCTAAAAAGATTGACAATAAAATTATAGCAAATAAATATTATAATGATTGAGAAAGTAATATTGAAATATACTAAACATTGATGAACACATCATATAGTATAATATTCACTATATTTTACACACTATATTTACAATGGATTTAAAAAAACTTCGAAAAACTTCGTCTTTTTTTACTGCAAAAGATTGAAAATATCATAAATTCCTAACATCAAAATTATTATTGATACCAAAATTATTATTGATTTACTGTTTTATACCTCGATTGTGTGCCTCTTGCACTAAATTATCGAAGTCATATAAATTCCCAAAAAGAGGATCTATGTCCGTATAATTGGAAACGTCATATCCAGAATCGACTAATGGTGAAGTATAAACGGGATTCAACCAAATCGTTTCGATTCCAAGATCCTTGATGTAATCGAGTCGACTAATAATACCTATAAATAAATTGCGTTAAATAACTTCCTAAATCAATATAATACAATATTACGCGTAATTGTAAAATAATTTTGTATACTTATACATTTCATATATATAAAATACATAACATATAGTGATATTGTATACATGAATGTATCAAAAGAGATATCTTTTTAATATTTTATTAAATTTGTATAAATATAATCGATGGAATCTCAATGTAACTTCTATTTCTTATTTGTAATGGTAACAATTTATAACAATGACACCTACCCTTTAGATCGCCCTCACCATCGCCATCACTATCTTGAAATCCTCTAGGCCAGATCTGATAAATTAATGTGTTTTCCCACCATTCTCTATGTGCAAACTTCTCACTATCCATCCCATTTGTCCAAAGCACGAAGATACTTATCAATGTAATGTAACGCATAAACGGTGACATTGCGCATTAAATTCGGCGAAGTTCTAATCTGTTTACAATTTTTGAGAGAAATAGATTATAAGTTTCATCGACGTTACCACGATCTTACTGTTTTTATCGCACAAACTGAAACGTACGAAACAATCTCAAAATTAGTAATGTTTTTTAATCTTATATTTTTTAACATAATTTTGGCAAAAAAGTCTGATTTTTCTCCGCACGATGATAATGTTGCACAATATTTGAACACTTTGCACATCACATTATTCCATAAAAAAAATCGAAGCCCTAATATTAATTCACTAGATAATCCCTAATAAAATCTATTAATTTAACTCACATTTTCTATTAGCAATTTTTAAATTTTCATTTTCTGTAATTATATAATTATTTAATATTTATTTCATGTAAAACATTTATTTCTGTCACATTTTCGAGTTGTGCAATTACACTATTTTTAAATTTTTTCATATATTAACAAGAAATATCGTTTTTTATTAATATTTTCTTTGCGTCTTTTCTTCTATTTCTTTTTAAAATTCTTATACGTTTAAGTAGATGAGAGAAAAACGCTTAATTTTCATTAAAAATTCATTGAAAATTGATGTAATATTATATCTTTTCTTGAAGAGACTTACCTGAGACAAAATTTCTTATTAAATCTATATTATCTGTACTTTTAATTCTTCTATTAATTACACTTTTATCGATAATCACAATTAATTTGAATAATTTTCAATATTGTCGTGTCATTACTTGACATAGTTCTCTCGTAAATGATGAAAAATTGACACGATAAAATTCTACAGTGACACAGATAACTATGTTATCAATATCGCTGCCCCGATTAAAACTTACAATTTTTAGGGTAGGGATATTTATTGTTAGAATACTTATATTTAGTAGAAAGAGAGAGGCAAAAGAGAAGAAAGAAAGATGAAGGAACAGAAATAAGAAAAATATAGACAAAAGCGAGTGAGGGGGAAGGCAAGGAGAGAGAGGAGAAAGGAGAAAGAGTGTGAGAATTCATTACGAAGATTTAAAATTGTATTTATTTTATTTGTGAATACATTTGAATAAGTTTGTTATAATTATTTGGTGATGTATTTGTTTAGCAAAAAAATATATAAAAAATAAATTTAAGATGATATCGCGTGTAACAAAAAAATAACATACATTTTATAAAATAATACAAAAAATAATTAAATATTAATTATAAGTTTATTACCTTAATATAATATATACTTGCTTTAACAATAATTTAGAAGAAAACCGAGGGCAAACTTTGTTCAAGCTGCTGAATAATAACGATAATAATTTAATTAGAATAATCAATTTTTGTATGTAAAATTTGTGTAAAATTTTCTCTCTTGTTTCTTTTTTAAGTAAAAGAAATGAATAACAAAATTAATAATGAAATGGTCTCTTAATTAGAAAAATGTTCCTTTATGCTATATTGCGATATATAATTAGATTTTGTGGTGGCGTAACAGGTGAAAGATATAATGTTCGTTATTATCGGATGTGTCAAATAAAATGTGACATAAAAATCATTTTAGTGATAATAATCTAATTTACCGTCAATACGATATAATTGATATGATAATCTTTTTGATATCGACCGCTTTTTTATTTATCGCAATTATTTCAAAAGCATACTCAAATAGTGTGAAAAATACTGATGTAATTTATAAAATCGAGACCAGGATAAAACGCACATAAATATTGGCCATATTCCAATATAATTCTGGCAGTAATTCAACTGTTGATTTTGAAAAAAAAATTATTTATAATCGCGACTATAATTCCATATGTATATAAATGGCAAACGTTCTAGGTAAATAAATTATACTTTTTAATTAAGAATATTATAAAATTATCAAAGCATTTCCGTGCCTTATTTATATTGTAATAATGCTATTTCCAGATCCTTTTTAAAAAGAATAATTGATAACTCAGTCATTTGTAAAAGCCGCTAATGCAATAAACAGATGATAATTAAATTGAGATGCAATTTAACGTGGAAAACACGCGCCGCATATGTGTGTAAACTGGACTTACACAAATCCTTTCGAGCTAGTCTCTTTGGATTTGTAACAATCCTCTTGGACAATTATCTCTCTTGGACAGGTGACTCTGGCAAGGTGGAGAAAAAAAGAATAAGAATTATAATTCTCATAACGTTCTATTTCATAATTATTAGGCAATAACATAACAATACATATATACACGTGTATGTATGTCTACTGGCGAGCAGTGTGTATGTTCGCGCTTACACGGTATAAAACTCACAACGTGCGTTTCCCGCGCCTGCTGCCCAATGCAGCCGTTAATTAATTCCGAACTGATCATCCTACACCACGTAATGCGTCGATCTGAATTTAGAGATTGCTTCCCTCCCTAGGAGAGCGAGATGCTCAGATTCTTTATTGAATCACAGAGTACTGAATTTTGTCGGAAACCTATTTGGTGGATTAGATCAGATTAGATCAGACGATCCGTATCAGTGAGTCATTAATAGATACTGACTGTAAATTATGGTGCTCGTGGTCTAGGACGATACCTTCGTCTTATCTTCCATTATAAAACAGTTCGCTATATTAAACTTTAAAAGCAGTTTTACAGTGAAGCGATGTGACACACACGATGCGACGTACGTATCGCCGCGTGCGTTTTCATCACTTCACGAAACCACCTTTTCCTTTAAATCTCTTAATCCTAATCTGTAGAACTGTTTTTCTAAGGAACACACCGACTATCTTGTACATAATTTATTCTTATCCCTTGATAGACAAAGATCGTCGATGAGATGGACTTCGCAATTATATACGAAAAGTTTAAAGCATAGTTGGACCAAGCCCATGAATTTCAAGATGTTCGACTCTCCTGGCACTCTAATGATTACTAGTAAAATACTAGTACCAACAGGATATTCAAGAACAGCATATTGCATCGAGCATGTATGATGATACAAAAGAAAGATAGAATCAGAAAGAAGAGAGGAAGAGAGAGAGAGAGAGAGAGAAAGAGAGTAAGAAGAGAGAGATGAAGAATGGAGAGAGTAATATATAGAATAAGAAAGATATTGCTTGAGGATTTATTTCGTGAACAGAATATAGTTCCATGCATATGCGTTGTTAAATTTTAATAAATATTAATAGAAAATGCTAGTAGAATTGTAATGGAAAATCCAAAATGTATAAATGTATCAAACTGTACTGTAGTATAAAAAATTAATAATATATTTAACTGTTTATTAATATATAATACTTTGAATGCTAGTACTTTACTAGTAAAGCGATAGTAATGCGTTTGTAAAATTAAGTAATCCTTTTAAAGTAATTGTCAGTAAGTACTAGTATGTATGCATATATCAATTATTGGTATCAATGCTGCTACAGAGCTTACTACTAGTTGATACTACTAGTAGTATCAATATTATACTATTCGTACCGGAGAGTGCTAGTAAAGCATTAGTATCGGTGTGATACTAATATTTTAACAACAACGTAATATTTAAAGTAAATCTTATGAAATTGGTCCATTCCGGCTCTAAATCTTTCATATCTTCGTTTCCGCAACTTTCGATCTCCCCCCTTTGCACGGGAGCAATAGTCATAAATACTTTTGTTTCGCTAACAATATTCGTTTACGTCAGAGACATGTAAAGACAGTAAAGATAGGATGATAGATTGAACAATAGCATAGAGTATGAGGTATCCTTCACACGATAGTATGGAATATAGATTATAGAATACATACATGCATTACGTGTCATGTGTAATATGTTCCATGCGATGTGTGTGTGTGTGTGTGTTGTCTGTTTACAAGAGAAGGAAAAAGTGAAATCGAAGAAAGAAAGAGAAAGGGAAGAATATGTAGAAAATCTACATTTTCGGAAAAATGCAGAAACTGTCGCGGAAATGTTCTTAAGAAACAGTGCGGCCAGCCCCAAATATGACAATGTACGAAATACGAAACTAAAGGTATAAAATTATGCAAGATCTCGTAATTCTTGTAAATTATACTTATAAAACAATTTTCTAACTTTTCTTAATACGTCTCTCATTTGAACAGATATTTATATTTGATAAATCTACTTTTATTTTTTATACACAAAAGGATTAAACACTCGTCTTATTCGTTTTTTTTCAAAAACGTTTTTAAATAATATCTTATCATCAATTAAAAGTATTTCTTTTTTAATATTGCAATTTAAATATCTAATTTAAAAAAACATTATTAGAAATCTTTATTAAAGATTTTTAACTTTATTAAATTTTATTTTTTAACAAGAATTTTTAATTAAATTAATTAAATAATTACACATTACAAAAATACAGAAATTTCATTTTGCATTTAATTTCGAAATTTGCAAGTAGAACTTTATACTCGGCTTTAGAGAGATAAGAATGACATTCAACAATTCATATGCAATCACAATCATGCATCAATTAATCCTTGGTCCGAATGGAAAAATTTTTCCGTCGGTTGTTGGTCATCTTTTTTGCGTGGACAAATGACTAATTAATTGGACCAAAGTGAGAACTACTTTATGTATTGGAAAACTATAATAGTGTATAATATAATAAGAAAATTGATAGTTTTGATCAGTCATGTGAAATACTTCACTTAAGTCATCGATGTTTCAATGCTTTTTTGCATTTTTCATCTTTTGTTGATATACACTTGTAACAATGTACACTCACTAAAATAAAACAAATCAAAAGACAATTAATATTTAATTACACAATATTATTATTTAATTTAAGTAACACACGATTCTTTTTTGTTCCTTCTCTCTTAATTTATTTAATTACTATACTTCATTAAAATTTCTTGGCGCTTAAAATAATAAATTATCGTAAAATTATCCGCATGAAAAAATATTGAGAAATTATTTTAATATTTATTAGAAATATCGAAAAATGTAATTATTTTACATATATATCATATAACATTTTACCACAAATAAACTAAAAACCGATGTCTATAAGTTTGAAAATTATTGAAAAATTATATGTAAATATAATATTTTGGTTATTCAAATTTTTTAATTGATCTTATTACTCATTATTATATAATTATAACTATCTATTTTTCTC